ATTTAATCAAGCATTCACGAACAAACCAATTCAAATTAATCAAGCTTGTAAAAATTTAAAAGCAGCAAAATTTACTAAGAATATAAAGCCTTAAAAAAATTAAAACATTTAAAATAGATGAATGAGGAAAAAATGAGATGAAATTTAAAATAGACAACAGATAGAAAAAGATCATTATAAATTGGAAAAGATAATTACTCTACAAATAAGAGGTGTTTGTTAACGAAGCTCGAAAATTTCAGGTCAGCCATGGCCACCACAGATGCCATGGAAGTTGACTATGATCTTCAAGCTTTGTAATAAGCATGACCAAGAGGGAGGGAGAAGTAGCCAGAGCCATGAGCAAGATTGAGGGAGCTAGAGAAGGCGCGAGAGGCATGAAGTTGTTGAGGTCCAGTGCCACAAATCGCCATTGCCCCCAATGTCTCTGAACTCTTGACGGATTCAGTGATTGGAAGCTAAAACTAACATTGAATATATAGCTAAAATTTGCTAGAATTACCGTGGAGAATTCACATTGTTGGGTGCCATTGCTAGCATTCACATTGTGGCGAAACTATTAAGAGTCCCAATCATGAACATACTGTCTTACTCAACCCTAACGCCTAGTAACAAAGAATGCAAAAGTCATAGTAGCCCAACTGGCATGCAAGCTTTTTTGGAGGCTTTAGGGAGAAGCAGAGAGAAAATGGAGATGAGAGGTGTAGGGTTAGAGAAATGCCTTTTTACCACAAAAATTACACTTGCTGAAGGTTGGAAAACTTCATCGGGTAATCGTGCTAAAGAAATTAATAGCAGGGATTTCAAACTATTCATTAATGCACAACGATTCCCCTTCATTTGAAACCGTCACAATCTCAAGAGAGAACTCCCTTATGATCACCGCATGTGTTTGCCTATCATTGGCTCCCCAAATGCCGAACCGAAATTTTTGCAGGCGTAATCACAACCCTGCTCATCTGCACAACACTGACCTTATGATAACGTTCAAAAACATTTATAATCATATTGCCTCTTTTTTTTTTTAAACAAATACTAAACCTATATTTTAATATTTATTTAATTGGGGAAAAATGATATATATGAGCTAACAATAACAACAAAATAAGATGAAAGAATAATAATAGTATTACATTATCCGGTAAAAAATGGAAAACACACTATACAGTTATTAAATTCGAGCAAAATACATGGAGAAACTGACCTTATAGTTAACAAACAAGTACTATTTCATTTATTTAATTGCAAAAGACAGTACAAATTATTTAAAAAATGATTAAAAATTAGGCAAATCCAAATATTTATGAAAAAAATGGGAAGACTGTAATGGGTAGTTAAAAATAAATATAATACTACTATAATTTACTAAATTGGAAAAGAGAGGATATACTTCCTCCTATTTTTAATATAAGAGTTAATTTGACTTTTAATTTAGTCTTAAATACAAGGCTCTAATCTACTTTGTCTCTCGTATGTATCTATTTTTTTAAAATAGTCCTTGTAGTACTTACATGAGTTAAAAATTCCATCAAGTGGTATATAGTTCTAGTTAATACATACAAGTAGCAAGAGGATTATAAGAAAGGCAACACCTAATTATTATAAATAACTAACTTGACAAACTTTTTTGATTTACTCAAATTAGTCAATTAATTTTTATATTAAGAATTAGAGATAATATTATCAACAAATGATTAAAAAATTAGTTTATTTGTCTCCTTCCTCACTATATCATTTGACAAACTTCTATATAGCTCTACGGGGACGCCTTCCTTATCATGAATAGGTAGATAGGAAAATGACAAATAAAGAAGGCTGAAATTAGGATATTCCAATTTAGGAAGCTAAGGATTGAAAATGACAGAGATGGAAGTTATTCCCAAATTAAAAATTTGAAATTCAGAAAAAATTAAAAAAAAATGCCCCTTTATTTTTTTTTTTATAAAAAAGTTCAACCCCTTGCTGCCAGTCGCTGGCTATGGCCACCAGTGTGTTGGTTGCCGATTGATTTTTTTCTGTGACAAATTTCTATTTTGCCATGTGAGAAATTATTTAAAGGAAAGTGGTAGGGATAGGATTTGATCCCACTACCCTTAATCATTTTGGCCAACAAAAAAAAAAGGTGACTATTGAGCCACCAATAATTTGTTAACCTCATAATGTAGGGGGGAAAAAAATTGACTCTTTTACTTTGACTCCAGCCTATGATGACAATTTATCTGAGAATGACAAGTTTTGATTGGGAAATGACAAATTTAAATTTAATATTAACGAATCGTTTTTTTTATATATAACAGAAAATAACATATGCATTAATTAAAAATGACAATAATTTATCTGAAAATGATAAATCTAAACTTGAGATTAACAATGTATTTTTTCTTGATACATAACATAAAATAACATACGCATTAATTAAAAATGACAACAATTTATCTAAGAATAATATGTCTTGATTAGGAAATGACAAGTTTAAACTTGAGATTAACAATGTATTTTTTCTTGATACATAACAGGAGATAACATGTGCATCAATTAAAAATGAAAACAATTTATTTGGGAACGACAAGTCTTAATTGTTAAATGACACATCTAGACTTGGAATGAACAAGGTGTTTTTGCTTGATATATACATAACCTGAAATAACATCTGAATTAATTAAAAATAACAATAATTTATCTGGGAATGATAAGTCTTGATTGTAAAATGATAAATTTAGATTTGAGATTAACAATATCATAAGCGTAGACTTGACAAGTCTAAACTTTTGATTCAATTAAAATTTGTATTGTTAATTCACCCAAGAAAAAAATTGTATTGTCAATGCTAAGTACATACTTGTCATTTCATAATCAAAACTTGTTACTTTTTGGATAAATTGTTATCATTTTTAATTAATACACATGTTATTTTGTGTTATATATCAGGAAAAAAACACATTATTAATCTCAAGTTTATATTTGTTATTTTCCAAAATATCTCATTCTCGGATAGATTGTTATTATAGATCAGAGCCACAGAAAGAAAACTAAACTTACACACACACATATATTTTGTATTATAAAGTTAATAATTCATTGTGACCCAATGATGACTTTTTTTTTCCTTGCCCAAATGATCAAGGAGGAGTTTGTAGCCACCATCAATAGCTGTCGCTGGCAAGTAGGGGTAGAAACAGGCCAGACAGCTTGTCAAGAGCTTCTAACCTGCTCTATTTTTAGCCTGATCATTGGGGCCTCTAACTTGGCTTGGGTCTTTTTGAGGACCTATTTTGCTTAATAGGCCAGGTTCAGGTTTTATTAAAAACCTATAAAGCCTGTCAGGATAGGCTTGGACCTGTTATGCATTTTTTATTTGTGTTCAATTAGATCAAAACCATGTCGTGAGCCCAATAGCTAAGAAGGCAGTGATCTCACCACTACACCATTGCGTTTTTCGGTTACTCGTTATGCACAATTTAAAATTTTAAACCCAAAGTTTGCAACAAAAAAAAAATTCCTTTTTGTCTTTTCACTCCTTAGTTCAATCTAGCCGCCGCTCGAGCTCTCCCTCTCCAGTCTCGACTTGTTCTCCATTCTCCAAGTCTTACTAGTGTCGTTCACGATCTCCAGTTCCGACCTCACAAGCCATAGCATTGCCGTCGTTCACTCTCCAACTCCGAGCTCCCATGTTCGGCCGTTCACACACTATCCCAATCTCCAGATGTAATCTCTCCTCCTATTCAGTCCTTATTTTGCTCGTGCATCGTCAATGGGGAAGCTTTTTTTTTTTTTTTTTTGACCACAAAATGGGTAAGCTTTTTGTTACAAACTAAACTTTGATAACTAGAACACTGCTTTCTCTCGTATCGTATTCAAATAACAAAAGCGGTCGACTGTTGATATGATTTCATTATTCATGGCGGAAATCTGAAGTCTGAATATGATTATATATATGTTCATGGAAGAAATCGCTGAAATCGGAAGTCACCGCCATGAATATACACACACGAGGTCCCATGTATATATTCATATATATATATATATATATATTCATGGCAGAAATCTGAAGTCACCGCCTTGAATATATGTATAATATATATGGAGAGTAACATATTTTATCACAATTTTAATCATCCAGTGCTGTGCTTATGTTTTATAATTTTTCATTGCTCTTCTTATTCTTTTAGGCATGCCTTGCATTGTTTATAGATTCTACAATAGCCTGTATTGTGCCAATGGATCAAGATTTTATCAGCATTTTTCTACAGCAACCTAGGAATTTTAGTGTTGTGGATTTTTTTGTTAACTTCAGGTTTCTTACTCATTTTCCTAGAGAGTGGAAGGATGCTTTTAGTCATTCAACTGATGCATGCTAAATTGCGAATATGAGCTTTATGATTCATTTCTAGTTTATGATTCATTGCCAATATATTATACACTTCATTTCTTCTTTTTAAGGTGTTCAAACAAGAAGAAACTATGTCGAAAATTTGATCTGTGACGGACGGCTATACTTTTGTTTGGTCAAAATTATTGTAATTGTAATGGAACTTGTTCCATTGTTGCATTCGGTATTATCTTGTTGATTAATTAGATTATATTAGACTGTCTGTTGCATTTTAGATAATTTTGGAATGGATTATTATAATTTTGAATTTATTTACACATATATAGCCTTTTTTTGGTTTGTTTAAAGGCTTAGGTCTATTTTTAGAGTGCGCCTATTTTTAGTCTAGACCTGTTAGCTTATTTATAGTTTTTAAAAAAAATATAGGCCTTTTAACACTTTTTTTATATAGGCTAGGTGTAGGCTGAAAAGAAAACCTTTAACAGGCTAGATTCAAGCTAATTTATTACAAGACAAGCCTTATCTGTTAAGAGAAAAGTTTAAGGGAAAAGCCTTACCTAGTTTGTTTCCACCGCTACCGGCAAGGGGTCAAATCATTTAAAAAAGATAAAAAAAATATTTTTTTTCATTTCTCCTTTTTAAATTATTTTTAATTTTCTCCCCCGACAAAACCTTACCTCTCTCTTCGCTCTTTCTCTTCCCTTCTCCATGGTCGCCTCCTCTGGCTCTTCGATGTGGATGATGAAGACGATGATCTAGAAGAAACAAAGCCTCCCAGATCCGTCCTCTCCCCCACAAGTTGTCGACGGCGGCTCAGACTTCACCCTAAGGTTGCTACCTGGTTGCTCTCTGTCTCTGCAGACGGAAATCCGAACCTTGCCGTTGCACCGCAAACGGAAATCCAAACCTTGCAGTCATGGGCACAGCAATGAAGTATCTAAAATGGAACAAAAGAACACAAGGAATATGGTATAGTCCCCACATGGCTGCTGCTTCTCGTGCCATCTTAGAGAGGATTCCATTGGTTGATCTTATCGTGGAACTGAGAGATGCAAGGGTAGTCTACTGTTGTTATGCTCTCTGCCTACCGAAAATTATATTATTTCAAGTGCTTGATCTAACCTCATTTACTTGAGTTTTTGTCCGTTTTTATTTTCAGTCACCCCCCCCCAAAAAAAAAAAGTCTATAGTTTATACTTTTTCAAAATTGTTGTTAATTTTTTTTTTAATTTTAGAATTTGGCAGACTTGATTACAATAATGCTTTACTGGAGTAACGAGAAATGTGCTTTTTTTTGGGTTTTCTTTTTAATAGTTTTTTTAATGAGTGGTATATAACTTTAATAGAAATGGAAATTGAAAAAATATTTTCTTGCTTCTTTTAATTGTATGCTAAATGAGGACAAAATTCCTGCTTTGATGGCAATTTCTTTTAAGGATTTTTTCTCTCTCTCCAAATTCCTTTTCCCTGGTTTCTTAGATTACTGTAAGAGAGGCATAAAATTGGCAATATTTTTTAAATTATTGTTTTCACTTTTTAACCTTATTGTTATTTGTATCTCTTATTTTAGATTCCATCATCTTCAGAATGCGAGATATTGAGAAGCTACCCAACTTCCTCAAGACACATAATAGTGCTGAACAAAATGGATCTTGCTGATCAATCAAAATTACAGGTGACCGAAGCCTCTTGCTTCATTGACTTTGGCATTTGGATTTTCATGGGCTATACGGCAATTTATTCTTCTGTTGGATGCATTCAGTTGTATTTGAGTAGGAAAAGTATTTCTACAATACTTTTGAATGAAAAAAAATGCAATCTATGAAGGAAAATAATTAAAAATGATGTTGATAGATAAACTTAATTCATCACAATATTCCTAAATTGCATCACCGTGACTACTATTTGTGCCTTCTATTGGAGTTGGACTCAGGTTTGGTTGGCAATGCTCTACTGGTTATGTTGTCCACACCCAGTTAGCTTGTTTATTATGCTGTGAGTACATCTTAAGCTGCTCGTCAATCTCTTCAGTTAATGCCCTGTGTACCTGAAAATTGTGTCACCATGACAACTGTGTGCTTTTACATTGGAGCTGGACTCAGGTTTGGTTGTCAGTGCTCCCCTAGTTACTTTGTGCACTGCCTATTAACTTGGTAACTATGCCTTGGATAGATCTTAAGCTGCTTGTCAATCTCTCTGGTTAATGTCTCAGGTTACCTCTAGTTTGGTCATAGGTTGGGATTCACATAGGCTTAGGTGTTGGTGATTATGTACCCAAAACTTTCATCTTTCCTCTTTAATGGTTGGATTCTCTCCCTAAATATGAGTTTTAAGCAGTATAGAAAAGGCATGGAGAATCCAATCTTTAAGAGTTCTTGAGGGAATTCAATTCATAAGGTAGGTTGTGGTTAGGATGGCTTCCCTCTCAATATCTTAGCACATTTGTAAAACCACAATGACAAGCACATCGGGGGTAAAGATCAATGTGCGTTTACAATCTATCATGAGATATGCTAATATATATTACAATAATCATAACTATGTACATCATCAACACCTTCCGTGAACAGTAATGGGTAATCGTTTTTCATTCTGTATATTTTATTCATTTTGGGTTGTGTTCCTGTTGTCAATCAGCAGCCTAGGGCTTAAATCCAGGTAATGTTTCAAAAATTTCATTTGACACCTTTGTTAACTTACCATTATTTTTGACGGTATCGCTTTTGCATTTGGTAGATAACTGAAATGGCTTTCAAGTTTTCTTTTGTTATCCTCCCACCATTTCACCATGTGAGTGGGATGAGGTACGCATACCTTGCATGTTATTCCTTGCTGCCTACGTTGGATTGTAATGCTTGAAAATTTAAGGGAAAGTTCTCTTCCTAGTCTTTGACATTAGGCAAGATGGTTGTTCTGGCCTATTTTTATGTTTAGTATATGCTATGGCGTTGGTAGTGTCCTTGGTGGACATGCAGAGGGATATTTATGTCTTTCTTTTCTTTTCTTTTCAGTTTGTTATGATTATGATTTTTTTATTTTACTTTGTCTGTAGATTGCTAGCTTATTCTTATTGACCCCTGTATCACTTCTTCCGTTATCTTTGGTCTTAAAATTCTTGTCAAATTACTCCTCCATGTTTGTTTATTCAGTGCTGATCTTTTATCGTTATAGAACTAAAAGAGTGGGAGTTTTTTCTCATACTTGAAATATCTTCTAGCGAATATGTATTCATTTTGGCTTCTTTCTTCCTCCTTTTGTTCCCGTTTAAAATAATTTCGTGATTCATTTTGTGAGTAGGAATGGGTGAAATATTTTAGGGAAAGAAACTTCATCTCTTGTGGAGTCAATTCTCATAACAAGGAGAACATCAAGAAGGTAAACAGTTAGATCCTTTTCTGTGAATCCATCAGTTAACGTTCAAGAATTATCTCATTGCATGTATCTAGGGACTGTAATGCGAAGAACATTCATGGTGACAGACTGAAAGTTGTTAATCTGATGAAACTTCAACGTACAATCTAAATAATAATCAGCTACAAATTTCAAGATTTAATTTTCTGCTGTAATGCTGTTGCTATTATTTTCTTTTCTTTTTCCCCTCTTACACCTTCATTAATTCTTTTGGAGTTTTCCTCTGCTCTGTTTCACTTTAGGAGGCATGTTTTCCCAACATTCCTTGTTGCTATATAGTGGCAGGGACAGGCTTGTTGACCTGAATCATTAGTTTTTAAACTATTTATTTCAATTAAATATATGCAGTAATATAATAGTTTTGTTTAAAGGAAGGGTTGGGTTAATTAAAATAACTACTTTGCTTTTGCAAAATTGTTTTTGTTGGCACTAGTTGTTTTTTTCCCCCCTTGGACGTATGTGTCCTAAAATAAAGACAAGGTGAAAATAATTTAAATCTGTCATTCTAAAGTATAGAATTAACAAGATGATTGATTGACTAATCATAAAATGGGGACAAGTTTGGGAAAGGCAAAAAAGGAGAACTTGATTAACTGAAATTAATTTTCAAGTCTCTATTTTATTGTCTCAGAAATGATGTAGTAATTAGGGTTTACAAATAAGGTTTCAGGTGGTGAATGGACAGGTTAATCTGGCATAATGAGTATCTTGGGTGCTTAGACATTTTCGAAATATGCTAATGGAAATGGCTACAAAGGGAACAATGACAATGAAAATCATGAAGCAAATCTGAGCTTTTTCCTATTTCTTATATCTGGACAACTATAATTCTCGTAATTGATGCGTGTTGATCGTGAACATGAAGTATTTTAAGGACTCTTGGTTTCAGACAGTTTTTAAGCCTACTTCAAAACCAAGTAAGAGAATTGAAGACTGATCATACTGCAACGGTAATGCTTGTTGGTATTCCGAATGTTGGCAAGTCAGCACTTGTTAACTCATTGCATCAAATTGGCAGAATTAGTGCTGCAGGTAGCTAAAATTTCCTTACAATGCTTACAAGCAGCATATGATATGCTAAACTTTTGTGTAACCTGGTGGATGCATGTATTTCAGAAATTTGTAATTTATCTGATTGGTTTTCTTTGTATTCTGTGTCTATTGTTTTTCAGAGAAGGGAAAATTGAAACACGCAATTGTGAGTCCAGAACCAGGGGAGACCAGAGATATACGAAGTTTTAAGGTGGGCCCTTTATTTTCACTGACTTATGCTTTCTTGAAGTTTTAGGAAAATTATGAACAACACGTCTCATGGATAAATCAAGTTTCAAGTTCTTACTGTTGTGTTGTTAAGAGAATCTGAATTGTTCATCACTACCGTGAAAGTTCAATGAAAATCATGTGTCTCTGACTGCCTTTCTTATAGATGCCTGATGATCCCACTTAAGCTGTTGTATCATTGAATTTAAGTTTGAATTTTCTTGTTCATATCTTTTTATTTGGTCATTTTCTAATATTTGGATTAGTAAAATGTGTCATTTGACATGGAATTGAAATGAGGCGTATTGTAGGGTATATAAAAGGGAGGCTATTTTAGGAATTAAAATTACAAATAAGGATATAGGTGGGCTATTTCAGGAAGTAAAAATACAACGAAGGAGAAAAAAACCCTCTATAGAATTACATATTTTACACTATTTCTAACATTTATCAATTATCATATGTCCAGCATACTATCTCTTCTGTGATTTCATTTCCACTCACTAAAATTTTTCCATTCAGATTGCTAGCCATCCCAATATTTATGTACTGGACACTCCAGGTGTTGTACCCCCTGAAATTCCTGATGTTGATGCTTGCTCTAAATTAATTTTAACAGGTATATTTCACTAAGTTTCCTTCTATCCCGGGTTTAGTTTGGTTTAATGGCTGTCACTGTGATTTTCTTACAGAAGTGACTTTTTGGTCCTCCAAATATACATATCGTCTATATGGTCCCCTAAACATAGATGTTGTATTTAACTTCTCCAAAGATTGTTTTTGTTCTCTGGCAGTTCTTGCTTTGAACTCATTGACAGACAGTAATGGGACAGTTAATGTGGCCTGAAAAAATGGATTATGTGGCTGCTAACTGTGCGTAGGACCACCGCTTTACTATTCAAATTTGGTGTATGTTTCAGTTTCCTCGAGTTATTAAGTACTAGCTTTATGAAGACTCTAGGAGCCAAAGGTAGCACATTGGCTTTAGCACAGATGATTCGTGGCATGCCGTGTGTTTGTGGTGCCATACCCAGCCACAGGCCATGTCAACCTATCATGTGCCTCTGTAAAATTATTCTTTCCATCGCAACCCATATGACCGAGAGATTTTCAATGCCTTTCTTGTCGCGCAAGAGTAGGACAGCTAAATTGGCTTCAATGAGTACCACTGCTTTTTCTTAGTGGCCTCTTATATGGGCAAGTCTGTGTCTCTGATTTTCCTGAGTTCTGACGTTGTGATGTCAAACATGTAAGCTCCCTTTGAAACTCTCCTCTGTAATATTAAAACGCAGGTCACATCACTTATTCCCTTTGACCATGTCACTTAATTTGTATTTAGCGGAAGGACCATTTAAGTATGTCATGAACTAAACAAAATTGAGAAGTCAAAGGAATCCGCCTTTCCCAAATTAAATGCAGTGGTACATGACAGAAATGACTGTTACTAAAGGCAATGCACTAACATACTGCAAACACATTACTCAAGGTTTTGGCCTGATTATTTCATAGCTCAGCATTTTAAGAATCTGCCTATTTCATGTGCTTAAACTTCTTCCTTTTTAATCCTTAAGCAGGAGCAATCATGGATAGTTTAATAGCGACAAAAGAAGTTGCTCAATGCTTTTTAGCTATACTCAACAGGAGTGAGCAATACAAGAATTGGGCAAACTTATCAATCAAGGATAACGATAAGCTGTCTCTTGACTGTACAATGGAGTTTTTGAATAGCTCTGAAATGTGTATGAAGCAGAGGAGGAAAAGCCCTACAGATCACACACAGGTATAAGCTATTTGAAGTAAATTTCTATTTTTCCTCATTATTACGCTGTTTTTTCCCCCCTTCTCATCGATAGCTCTTTGTAAAAAATTACGAATCAACCGAAAGATTGATTAAAAAAAAAAAAACTATTCTAAAATAAAGGCAACTTTGACAAATTCTGTTAAAACACTAGACCACCAATAGAAAAAGAGGACAAACAACCAATGAAATTCATGCCTTTCAATTTAGATAAGTAATTACGATGGTATGGAGGATGCCTGAAAATTGTTTAATGCGGCAAATGCAGAGTTAAATATGGATCCAAAGAAAGCCACTCCAGGAGAAAACAAGAATAATTGTTACAATGGTGGCGGAAGCAAAGGTGATGATGAGCTTGTGTCATTGGGTTGCCTCTGAAAAGGCTGCCGTGGGATTTACCATCAGATAGTGAAAATTTGAGTCAGACGGATATTGTTATAATATACACACCTTTTTCTTGGGGAACCTTACTAAATGACCATTTACATAATTATTTGAGTCGTTAGAGATCTCCTTAATCCTTATCATTTTATAATTGTCAAGGAAGTTGGATAAATTTATAATATCATGTTAGCCAGCCAGTGCAATAAAAGTTGATGTACTATGCGTGTGAATACCTCTATGCAGAGCTAATCAATAACAGATTGCCTTTCATTATCTTCATCAATAATAAGTCATAATTCTTAATGTTGATGGATAAAGTCATTATTCGAAGCAGTCTTTAGCTTTTCACTGTATAAAACTCATGGCATTTTGTAGGATCATGTAGTTCGCGGTGTTCGGCGAACTCTCTTCGAAACAATTTCAGCATATGAAGGGAATACAAATGATGAAGAGGAAATGGAAGCCCTTATTTCTCTACAGTTTGGAGCATTGCAGAAAGCATTTCAGGTTTCTGCTGAATGTCCAGAAGAGGCTAATGTCAAGGTGGGGAAGAAGCTGCTTGATCTTTTCCGTACTGGGCGTCTCGGGCATTATACATTAGATCTTCTTCCTGGAGATATCCAGTACGGAGTATAAGCAATAGAGTTGTGCTGTCTCTGGCTATGGACGCTGCAATTGGCAGCAAATTAGATATTCTATGTTGATGATGAGTTGATAGTCCACATTAGAATGAGATGGATAGTGGAGGAGAACTAGAATCCGTATGGACAGGTTATTGGATTCACCCCTTGTTCGGATGAATTAAATGAGGGAGGAAAGAAAACTAAGGAGTAAAATGAGAAAAGAAATGAGTTTTTCTTTATTTGGATGAGGGAGAAAAAGTGGAAGAACAGAAAAGTGGGGAAGAAAATGGGTGTGGGGCTCATTTTATTTTCACACTTCATTTTCTTTTCAATTTTTCTTTTCATATCACTTATATACCCTTCTCAAATATGTTCCAATGATTTGATGAATGTTTTCTTTTTAAATTATATGTATTAATTACTTTATAATTCAATAAGATTATCTCACTGGACTATGGCCAAGGTATGAAAAAAGTGAAATTCGCATAAATCAATATATGTTTCTCCATCTCTGGAAACTTGTGTTAAATTTTTATTATTCATGAATAATTTTAAATAATATAGTACTTATTTGGATATGTTATTATGTTAAATTTAAAAAACTTATTCACGTTTTATTTTTAGCTTGAAAAATAATATTTTTACTAAATCATTTAGTTTTTATAATAATAATAATCACAAGACAATATATTTTCCCAAATGATTTGATTTTAAATTATTTAATGATGTTAATGTTAATATTATTTAATTTGATTACAATTTTTCACTTAGAATAAGGATATTAGTTATTAAATGGTTTCTTATTTTCTTTTATCCCTATTTGTTTTCTTTCATCCAAATAAAAAGAATGATAATATTTTTGTTTCCTAGTTTTCTCTTCTATTATTGCATCTACTTTCCTCTCGACTCTTCTTCAGAGCGTCAAGAATAATTTAAAATAGAGTCAAACCAACCGAGCAACCAAAACCAATCAATATTATATCAATGGTTTTCCCATAGGTCAAAATCAATCTAATCATTTCAAATGTTGGTTTAGTTTTGTTTAAATTGTCTCCTTAGTCTTCCCTACTACGCTATTCCCTTGTAATCTTTTATTCCCTTCTTTTTGAATTCCCTCTGGCCTGCTACCATGCAATCCCACCTCCCTTTCCTTTTAAGTTCCCTCCAGTCTTATATAAGATATATTTTTAAGGGTAAATTGTGGGAAAATCACAGAGAAGGATCTAGAGTAAATACTTATTGGTTTTTAATGTAAAATTTAATTATCGAGTTGATTTTTATTCTAAATGCAAGATTTATTTGTTATATTTATTAGCCTTTTCTGAATTACTCTCATTGACACTTTCTCAACTATAATTAAGTAGGAGAGTGAGGAAAAATATTAAGAAAGATGATTATAGTGTTTTAGAAAAAATATGTCGTATTTCTTATAATTAACTAATTTACATAACTTTAATAATAAAATCAAATTAGTTAAAGATTGGAGGAGAAATATTTATTATATAAAAAGATCAAATATTAACGTATGAACTTAAAAAATACTAAGTTGCCCTTAATTATATTTCCTATGTTTTCTTCCATATTCTGTTAGTAATTCTAATGCGACTTTCTAAGCTTCACTAGATTAAATAAAATTTCTCTCAAATTTTACAACTTACGCAAATCTTTATTGTAAAAAAAAAATACAAACATTATTCTATTATGAAAAAAATTAGAATTTTATTTTCAGAATCAACACAACATAGATAAAAAATAAGTTATATGATTTTGCAAGAAATTTATGTAAGTTTTAAAAATAAAAAATACATATAATCTTAATAAAATTAAAAAATCCAAATAATCTATATATATATATTTCATGTGAAATTAGCAATCAAACCTTTTTTAGAATTTAGAAAACACTTGTGTGTAAGTAAAAAAAAATATTGTAAATAGAAATTGCAATATAATCAACTAAATTTCAATATGGGTGGGAAAGAAGTTGAATTAACAAATGATGTACGAGCCCTTGGAAATGGAAATGATGGATGGTGTTGCTTTTAGCTCTTGTTTTCGTTTTATTTTTAAAATTATTAAGGTAGGATTTATTTAAGAGGTTTTGATAGGGTTAATTTAGTATTTTTAAATTGATATCTTAATATTTGGTCATTCTAAATAATTATTATTTTTATTATCCTTTTTAATAAATACTATTTTTCCAGATCCTTCCCCCTAATTTTCCCATAGATTATTTTTATTTGACTAAAATAGTCAGATTTCCCTTGTATCTTACAAAGTACCAAAACAAATGGAACATAAACTATTGCCTAGAACCTTGGAAAATACATTATAGGAAATAAACTTTTAAGGAAGAACTTGAAAATCATGCCATGGTGCAAATGTAGGTTTGAGGTGTCGAAAGAGATTTTTCCAACCCATATGATGTGGACATGTGGTTTCTGATCCATTGCTGAAATCCCATAGTTATATTTCCAAAAGAGGAAGGATACCCGGTTGAGGTGCGTTGTTCCATATAAATTCCATGACTGCAGAACCTTACCAGCAAATGAGAATTTGACAAAAATGAGTTGTTGATTTTTTAAATTATTTTATGGTTGTATTTTTATATTTTTTTTATTTTAAGGGCATTAATTTTTTTGGCAAGAAAACAAAATGACAATATTAAAAAAAGTAGAGTTTTACATAATCATCACATTTTTTTTAAAAATAATGTTTTACTTAGTTAAAAATCATTGGTTAAAAATTTTAAATTTAAATCGTTGAAACTACAGTTATACATAATATCATTACAGTGGTAAGAATTACGTTAAACGTGATGATCCTTGCAAATAAGTACTGAAAAGTAGGCATTTGGGACATCCAAAACCCAATAACCTAGCTACCAAATTAGCTTGGTTTTCAGCCTCTTTCATTTCCTTGCCTCCTCGAATTTTTTTTTTTTTGAAGTTCTAAAAAGGAAAGTGATAGATCATTAATATTTTAAAAAATCAGATAACCGGAGTTCACAAACACAATACTCTTCGTCCAATTGATCAACACATAAAAAGTCACTGGGGGAACCTAGAATGGCACCTTACTTGTCAAACCCCTTCCCTTGAGTTTCAAATATTTCAAATTAAGATTAGTACCATTAAGAGTATAAATGGCAACTTATACCAATACATGAGTCGGGTGAGTTTGGTAAGAGTAAATGTTAGGTAACTTACCCGTAAGATTGTTTTGAGATAAATAAAGCCGGGTCAGATTTTGAAGAGTTCCTATCAATATTGGAATGGTACATGTCAATGTAGGTATTGTATTGTGTAGAGGTAAATACAATAATTCTAAATTGAGCGAATTTGCAAGCTGATAAGAGTGGAAGTGGAAGGTACATAATTCACCAGTAAGATTGTTATTAGACAAGTCAAGATATATGAGACTACAAAGAGTTTCTATCTGAGTTGGAATAGCACTTATTAAATGCTATTAAATATTAAATATTGTAGGTTGAGAAATGCAATGAGGTTGAGATCTTCTAGCCAAGGGTGCTTTGGAGTGATCCTTGGTTGATTCATCTCATCATTGCTTCCAAAATCATTGTAATATATCACTTCCCAGTGACAAGGCTCTAAGAAGTTGTGGGCGCTATTGCTAAAATTCCACCATTTGGTCTGCAGCAGAGCTTGTTTCTCCTCTTCTATCATCGTTGTGGCGGCATTATTGTGGAAGCAAGTTATAGCAAAGCTTAATAAAAATACCATTCCCATAATACCCATCTTCAATTCATTGGCTTACACAAATGATCACAAAATGAATGCAACCATAAGTCTTCATATTCATATATATATATATATATATATATGTAGAGAGAGGAATATCGAAATGACAAGAGCTTGACTACCATGGCTCTGCAAGTATTGCTATGCGCTCTTTATTGTTAATCACTCTGGTTATTAAGTGATAGTGCCTTTATCATCATCCTCATCATCATATTTAAATTATTCATATCATAAGTCTTAGAAATGACTTTTAGATACTACCTTGAGTCCTTAATATAAGATTTGATTGATTAATTTGAGTAGATTAATAAATTACTTTAAAGTATTTACTATATTAATTTTTTCCAAACTAATTTGCCTAACTTATAAATTGATATATATTCTAATTATATACATAAGTATTTTAGAGAGATAATGTAATATTTGGTATAACTAAAGTAATTTATTTAGCTTAATTTTTTCAAATTAGTCAATTAAGTCTTATATTAAAGATTGAAAGTAGTATTATTTATCAGAGTTTTAGTTTGCTCAAAAGGTGATAACTTTTTTATTATAAAAAATATTTCAATACGTCCATGGATTTGTGTCATTTTTCAAATTTTAATGTATAATTATTTAATTGGTTTTCTTAATATTACTGTTAAATGGAGAGCACTCTATAGAAATAGTTATGATTCAAAAATATTATGTTATGTATAAAGAATAGGAGCATCAATTTCTTTTAGAGATGCACAAATTTGTCCTGAAAGTTTTCACTTAAGAGCTTTGGGTATTCAAAAAAAGTTTTGGGAATAAATTTGCCCTAAAAGTTTTAAATCATCGTAATATTGTCCTCTATTATTAAAAAAAAAGAAGCATTGACAGTTAAAATAGTAATGTTGATCGTTAACATTTTTAACAGCAAGAGGCAATATTGCTATAATTTTAAATTTTTTGGACAAATTTGCTCCAAATAAAACTTTCGGACGCCCAGCTTCTGAATGAAAACTTCCGTAGCAAATTTGCATTTTAAACCCGTATATAAAAGATAGGATAAAGTATGTACAAGAAAGAAATGGATGGCTTGTAATTTATTTAGGCTTCTTCCAGTAATTTTTAATAATTAATATTTCAAGTTCTGGAATTTGAATTATCAATATAACGTGATAGATGAGTTAGTAATTTATTTAGTGGCCAATAATTTATTGCATGAAGTTACTTGCCTCTTACAATTCAAGTAAAAATTCAAAATTCAAAATTCTACAACTACTACTGATACTATTATGGTCTTGGTCATACTTAAAGACTCTTGCAAGCATGTTCAGCAAAAATTCAAATACGATTTTGAAAACAAATGTCACAAGTATTATAATTTACTTTTTTCCTAATTGGTTTGAAAACTCAAAGGAGGAGGAAAGGATCATTGTTGATGGTCTTCATCAATATTAAAGTATAAATTAATTAATGGTCCTCATCAATATTAAATAAAAACTAACATCAACAATTAAAATAATAATATTGGTCGTTAACATTTTTAATGGTAGAGGAACAAAATTGCTGTGATCTAATTTTAAACTTCTGGAGCAAATTTATACAAAAAGCAAAAAACTTTTAAGTGCCCACCAACTTTATATGTATTTAATCTACGTGATCTATAAAAGAATGTAATAATTATAACAGATAATAGATCTCTTTTCTTTTCTTTTTTTACATTTTGAAAAATCAAAGAAAAATTAAAAACATCATTGTTAATGGGTTTTGTCAACATTAAAGGCTTGTCAGTGAAAATGGGCATGAAATTACTAAACATGAGATGAACATCACAACGTTGTTAATGTTTAAATTCGTATTAGGATTTGGATGTCCTGAAGTAAGGTTTGCGTGCAGTGCTCAAGTGCCCCATATCAAGGGGGAAAAAAGAAGATAGATGTACGCTAACTCCACTTAACCATCGCACACACACCTCACTAAACTCACAGCAGGGGATTGATAGGAATGCAACAAATACGATAAATGCAACCAAAGAAAGATGCTGAAATATGCTACTCTGTATTATTCATAAGGTGATGTGAGTGCAATACAGAGTTTTCGGCGTCACGCAATGGCAGCCGGTATAACAGAAAAAAAAAGCTAACAGATAACCGTAAGCATGCAAGGAAAGAAACAATACGGAAATCCAGAATAACAGAAAAGAGAATATGACAGAGAAAAGTAACAGAAAGGACAGAGGGAGAATTCTCATAAAATCCGTCTTGCCCGATTTCTGCCCATCTACTCCTATTTATGCCCCATTCTCTCTCACCTTCCATGTGGCTTTACGGATCCTGGTGCCTCTACGAAGCCTTTCACCATCTTCATTGGTCATTTGCGGCCCACTGCTATTATCCAAACCCAAATCCAGTTGTTCACTTGGCCCATTCATAACAGGGATCTATATTCTTAAAAATATATATATATATATATATATATTACATCCGGTCCTTAATATAAAATCCTGTTTGACTTTTATTTTAGTCTTAAATATAAGACCCCAATCCACTTTATCTCTCATATTTACTCAATTTTTTCCAAGATAATCCTTCTAATAATTATCGTTCTAGTTAATACACTTGATTATCAAAGATATTTTAAGAAAAACAACACCTATTTAGGACAAATAACTAATTCAACTTACTTTCTTAATCTCATCAAATTAGTCAACTAACTCTTATAATTAAGACCGGAGGTAGTATTGAAGAAAGGAAACTAATGTACCCAAACATCAGCTTTTTATACCTCGAAAACTTTTGCTAAAAAAATGAGTCACAAATACAAGAATGTAAGTTGTAAATAAGTACTTATTTAGGTCTCAAGTTATTCTCAGTTATTTACAATTAGAACTAAGATTTTTAGATTTGTGGCCATTTGAATAAATATTAATAACTCACTGTTCAACAAAATTTCTGGGGCCTGGTTACTGAAAAAAATATCAATTCGTGTGTTCTTTTTCTTGTAAGAACAAGGATGAAGGATGTGTGTGTGTATAGGACTTTCAATTTCTTCTTGAAGTCCCAAATATATAAAGAACAGGAGGGAGTGTGTACCAAAGGAAATGGATGATGCGTAATTTATTTAGACTTGTTCCAGTAATTTATATTTTAAGTTTTGGGATCTGCATTATGAATAATGTGATGGATGGGGTCATAATTTCTTGGGAAAATTTCAGTGAAGGACTACAGAAGGCAATTTATAATAGTCAAGGACTAAAACTTTCTAAAATTTCACTGCAAGACCAAGGGACCAAATTGAAATTAAAATTTAGAGTGAGATTACAATAATACCCTTCCCTTTTTATTTTATTAAAAAATAAATATTTACTGAAGTTACTGTTCCGGCTACCGGAGATCGGAGGTCTGGCCACTGGCGCTCAGGTGGCCGCCGTCGGGGGTCCGGTCACCGGTGGCCGGAACAGTAGCTTCGGCCGGACTTCCGGTGGCCAGAGTTTTTTTTTTTTTGTTTAAAACAAAGTGGCCATGGGAGGATTTGAACCCATGACCCCTTGGCACACCAAAAAAACTTGTAAGCACCAAGCCAAGCAACCCATTCAATCATTAGATGCAAATAAAACTATATATAACAAAACAAACGCAACTGTCCAAATATAAGTGAACAAGTGAAATTAGACGATTTACAAGTGGAATTTAGCAATTTGCAACAAAAATTAGGCAATTTACAAATAACATAATAGAAGTCATAACCCAAAATGCAAGTATTTAAGTGCAAATGAGTAAGTAAAATTTGAAGATTTACAACAAAATTTTATAGATTTACAACCCAAATTTGGTAAACACAAGAGAATTCACAACCCAAAATGTAAATGTTTGAGTATAAGTGAACAAGTAAAATTAGACGATTTACAAGTGGAATTCAGCAATTTGCAACAAAAATTAGGCAATTTACAAATAACATAATAGAAGTCATAATTCCAAATACAAGTGTTTTAGTGCAAATGAGCAAGTGAAATTTGAAGATTTATAACAAAAGTTTATGGATTTACAACCCAAATTTGGCAAACACAAGAGAATTCATAACCCAAAATGTAAGTGTTTGAGTGTAAGTGAACAAGTGAAATTAGAAGATTTACAAGTGGAATTCAACAATTTACAACAAAAATTAGGAAATTTACAAATAACATAATGGAACTCACAATCCCAAATACAAGTGTTTAAGTGTAAATGAGTAAATGAAATTTGAAAATTTACAACAAAATTTTATAGATTTGCAAGTGAAATTCGACAATTTCACTTGCTCATTTGCACTTAAACACTTGCATTTGGGGTTATGACTTCTATTATGTTATTTGTAAATTACCTAATTTTTGTTGTAAATTACTGAATTCCACTTGTAAATCGTCTAATTTCACCTGTTCACTTACACTCAAACACTTACATTTTGGGTTGTGAATTCTCTTGTGTTTGCCAAATTTGGGTTGTAAATCCATAAACTTTTGTTGTAAATCTTCAAATTCAACTTGCTCATTTGCACTTAAACACTTGCATTTAGGGTTATGACTTCTATTATGTTATTTGTAAATTGCCTAATTTTTATTGTAAATTGCTGAATTCCACTTGTAAATCGTCTAATTTCACTTGTTCACTTATACTCAAACACTTACATTTTGGGTTATGAATTTTCTTGTATTTACCAAATTTGGGTTGTAAATCCATAAAATTTTATTGTAAATCTTCAAATTGCACTTGCTCATTTGCACTTAAATACTTGCATTTGGGGTTATGGCTTCTATTATGTTATTTGTAAATTGCCTAATTTTTGTTGCAAATTTCTGAATTCCACTTGTAAATCCTCTAATTTCACTTGTTCATTTATATTTGGATAGTTGCGTTTGTTTTGTTATATATAGTTTTATTTGCATCTTATAATTTAATGGGTTACTTGGCTTGGTGGTTACAAGTTTTTTAGTGTGCCAAGGGATCATGGGTTCAAACCCTCCTTTGGACACTTTGTTTTAAATAAAAAAAAACTCCGGCTGGAGTTACTATTCCGGCCAACGGTGGTCGGACCTCGACAGCGGCCACTTGAGCTCCGGTGGCCGGAATAGTAACTCCGGTAAATATTTATTTTTTAATAAAATAAAAAGGGTGGGGTATTATTGTAATCTCACTCTAAATTTTAATTTTAATTTGGTCCCTTGGTCTTGCAGTGAAATTTCAGAAAGTTTTGGTCCTTGACTGATATAAATTGCCTTCTGCGGTCCTTCACTGAAATTTTCCCTAATTTTCTTTGTAAGTGAGGGTCACAGACTAAAATAATTATTTGCCTCTTATAATTTATTCAAGCAAACATTCATAATTCTACAGCTACTACTATTATGGTCTTGTCTTACTTAAAGACATTTCCAAACGAGTTTAGCAAATATTCAAACAGGGATTTGAAAATAAATGTTGCAAGTATAATAGTTTACTTTTTTCTTTAATTATTTTGATAATTCAACGAAGGAGGAAAACATAATTGTTAATGGTCTTCATCAATATTAAAGTATAAATTAATTAAAGGGCAAACCCAATTTCCAGTCTCCATAGTTTTGGTCAATTTTCGTCAAGATCCCTGAAGTTTGTTTTTTAAGGAATTGGCAACTCAAATTTAGAACTGTTAAACCGTTAGTCTTTTTGTTTATTAATGGTGCTGATGTGCACTAATGGTGTCATGGGGCATGATTAGGTGGCAAAAAAAAAAAAAGAAGAGTTGTTCTTTTTTGGGCTAACTGATTTGGAATCAGACAACTCTCGTTTTCTCTTTTTTTTTTTGGGGGACCAAAAAAGAACAACCGCAGGTATGGCCAGACGCGGGCTTGCGAGCAGAGGGAGGGTCGAGGGATATCCGTGAAGAAGACGGGCGAGTTCAGAGTTCAGGAAATCGACGGAGGAGAAAGCAGAGATCATCGAAGGAGAGGGTAGAGATCGCGAAGGACTTGGGGTCAACAAAGGAGGCTCGAGATCGCTAAGGGAGTATAGATGTTCGAACGAGAGCAAGGTTTGGCGATGGTAGAGAGATCTGGTAACCTTCGACTTTGAATCATTCAGTTATCTCTCCTTTTCCTGTGATTTTCAATTCTCCCCGTTTCATTGCAAAAATTGAAGGAAATTGAAGGCATTGCCTTTTAATCGCCAAAAAGGCTTTTGGTGTTGATTTTGAAACCCTCTCTGTTTTGAACTCTCTCTACGAGCAAATTTGAAACTCTGTACCAAATTAGTGAAGTCTTATGCGATGAGTTTGCCAAGCTTTTTTATACGATGAGTTTGCCAAGCTTTTCCTTCCTTATTTCTAACTCTTTCTCTCTCTTCTCTACCTCTCTTCGTGACTGGTTTGCTTTAAACTGGTCTAGAGATTTAGGATCTATTTTTGCTGGTGCATGGGATCTTATTTTGCGGGTATCGGTCTGGCATTTATGGATATGGAGGAATAATTCTGTTTTCAATTGACATTATCTAAACCATCGAATCCAGCGTTGGTTATTAGACACACATGGAGATCATATGTACGGAGTAATGAAGTGAACTTTGCATGGGTGGATGGATAATTGGTTTTTCGTATATCATTGGTCTCTGTAATGCCTTTGAGGCAGAGGAAATAGCCATCTTGAAAGGGCTAACTTGGGCTTGGAACTTTGGTTTCAAAAAGGTTATTTTCGAATCTGATTGCAACAACCTTGTTGACTTGTTGCAGATCAAAACTCGAACCAATTCTTGCAGCTTGACTTTTCTTAATCCCCAAATATCTTGGATCTAATCTCCAAATTGGCTAGCCTTTTATTTTTGGGGCTTTAGCCCTCTCTTATTACCAAGAAAAGACTTTCTAGTCCCTAATTTGCTGCTTCTTGTTTGGTTGCCACCATTCAAGATGTATTTTCTTATGCTTCTCATTGCGATTTGATCTGGTGATTTTAGAGGTGCCCATTCTGCGTAACTCCAATTTAATCAGTTTGGTGTTTTCGATGTCAACACCATTTAATTATCTTTTCCTGCTAGCTCTATTCTAAAATCATTTACTGATGTTTATATGCTTTGTTTATTTTTTACGCATTTCATGGAGGTCTATAAGTTTTAATGCTTTCTAAATCCTTTCTTTTATATGCTCGGTCATTTTTTTTATTTTGTATTCAAAGGTCGTGGAGAATATTGAGAGGAGATGGAATCGACATGTTGAACGTGACCTGGTTCGAGAAATTACAGCACTGAGCGGGATTTAATGGGACCCTTAAAAAGTACTACCTCCGATACTAATTATAAGAACCAGTTAACTAATTTGAGGAGATTAAGAAAGTAAGTTGAGTTAGTTATTTATCTTAAATAGGTGTTGTCTTAAAATATTCTTACTAATAAAGTATATTGACTAGAACTATTATTGTTAGAAGAGCTATTTTGGAAAAAAATGTATAAATATGAGAGACAAAGTGGATTGGAGTTTTATATTTAAGACTAAAATAAAAGTCAAACAAAGTTTTATATTAAGAACTGAAGGTAGTAATCAACAATTGCAAGACAACTTGAAAATCTTCTTGTGATAACCTTTGAAAGAAGCCCTCTCGTTCTCACCAATTTTCAAAGGAAAGCTGGACGATCATCATTCAGAAAGGGAAAAAAGAAAGGCTCAAGCTCAAATATGTTGTTATTAGCTCAGCAAATTCGGCTTTCTTCAACTCTGTTTCCAAACTCTTGATTTTATCCTTCCTTTGATATTGTATTTTGAACCTTATTATATTATCATTAATATCATTTGGCCTTTACTTTAAAAAAAAAATTATGATCCAGGCTGGATAATAGTGGATTGAAAACTAAGTTTGGCCTGACTAACAGCATATCAATGTTGACGTTAATTTAGCACATAATAACATTTTCATTTCCCAATTCTACTATTAAAATAATATCGGTGCATTGCCATATTCAGTACAACAAATTGCATCATCCTCTTGTGATCATTTGTCACATGAAATCTTCGCAGCTACTTCATAACCCAAGTAGTTTAAAAGCAAAGATTGTCCCCCTCCCTCACTAGACGTGACCATTCTTGCTTGTAGTGAACCAACCTTGTCTCCCTACAGTTCTCAATCTATATATCATGATAAATCAAATCTATATATCATAATAAATCAAAATCAATAGCAAGCCGAGCCATTTTCAAATCCTGGATGGCTCTGCTCTATTTTTACTGTTCTATGAACAGTGGCAGCTCGTATGTGGGAAGACTTCAGTTTTAAATTTTGAAATTTCTCTTTCATCATCCCTTCTCCCTTTATCTGCCTTTCTTCTTTTTCAAGTCTGGTTTTTCTTCTCGTATGCTCCTCTCTGCTTCCGAGGCTTTCTTTGTCACTATTCGTCTCCCTCTGCCTCATTAGAAAACCTCATCGATCTGACTTAGATGAAGGAAATAGAGTATTCTGATATTCTCTGTATCAGTAGCCAGCTTGAAAATGGGGTGATTGGCATGGCTTATTACTAGAAGGTTTGTATCCGAAAACTCCCTACTTCTGGTTTTTTTTCCTCATTTTTCGCTTTGATTTATTTTTTCCTTTGTTTCTATCACGCTCATCGTGGCCACTTGCTTTGATTTATTGTTCATGGAACTGTACATAGTCATGTGAGATTGAAAAAAATACCAATTATATTTTGAGTCAAGTGTTGTTTCTTAGTTTGTAGTATTAAATAACTATTTTAGTAAAGTTCAAATGGTTAGTTAATTTATCACAACATTATTATTTTTCCATATCATTTTTAATTTATGACAATTAATGATATTAAAGTAAATTCATCCCATGCATGGCACAAGGATAGTCAATGCTAGTTCCTCTAACATCAAAATCCATAACCCAGAAAATACATTTGTCTCACCCAGTACAAAACACCCTTATAAGATAATATACTTTTACCTTGTAGAACATTATTCCTTTGCTCCCAGATGATATAAAATATAATAATAATCCTCTTTGAAGTGTCCACGTGAAACTCATCTTTAACATCTAGGTGAGCGAACCATATTTTAAGCCAACTAACAAGACCCTCCTGTTGTACGCACGACCATAAGCAGAATGCGTAAAACTAGATGCAAAATTCAGAATTCACTTCAAAATGGGGATAAATTATGCACAACCAGAGGCAGAGTTGATTCCAACAACGTCATACTTTATCATGGCCAGAAATTAAACTCAACAATAAAATCATAGTCTATGATGCCCAGCAACCAATTTCAGAACTAGAGAGGTACAAAAACGCAAGACACAATCTGGAAAAACAAATAACGAAAAAAGAAAGACAAGGAAAGAGAAAGAACAGAAAAAATGAACGAGGAGGAGATGAAGGTGAAGATTACCGGCTCTCCCTGCCATCGCCAAACCCTCTTCTTCTTCGAAGATCTATACTCTCTTCGTGATCTCAAGCCTCCTTTGTCGATCCCAAGCCTTTCACGATCTGTACACTCTCCTTCGATGATCTCTGCTCTCTCCTCCACCCGTCTCTCTTCTCACTCGCTGAACTCGCCACTCTTCTCCGACGGTCACTCCCTCTCTGCTCGCTTCTCTTTGGTCCATACCCGCGTTTCTTTTTTTTCTTTTCACCTCCACATAGATGGCTGATTTAAAATGCCAAGTCATCTAGCTAAAAAGGACAACTCATCATTTTTTGCCACCTAATCATGCCACTTAATAATCATTAACACCGTTAGTGCACATCAGCACCATTAATAAGCAGAAGGACTAACGGTTTAACAGTTCTAAATTTGACGGACCAATTCCTTAAAAAACAAACTTTAGGGATCTTGACCAAAGTTAACCCAAACTATAGGGACTGGAAACTGGGTTTTCCCTTAATTAAATGAACATAAAATATGTATTAAAATTACATATTTGTATGCTTAAAGTCCTTCATATTTCAGCTACACATAAAGAGAGATTTCTTATCTACCAGTTGTTTGGATTAGTTTTTTTAAAGCAATTTTACAGTGTATAAATAAATATGTGAGAAAAATTTTGTATTGTGACTTGCATGTTGTTGTTGCTGCTTGCACTTTTTTGACATTTTGGATTCCTTGTTGTATGCTCGAAACTGAACGTGTTTTGCAGGAAAAGATTAAGTGTGTTATAGGTTATAAAAAGTGTTGCAGTAAAAGCTTTATGCAAGGAACCTTCTGCTCCTCATGTTATTGCCATTGTGGTCTTTGGCTTTTGTTCGGGAACCATCTCTCTTTTAGCATTTGCAAACTGAACCAAGCTAAGAGTGAAAAGGGAAAGAAAGAGTCAGAAGGCTCTAGATACCTTGTGACTGGGAACATTTTGAGAATGAAAAATCTTATTTCTCATTATTGTATAACAGATATGTATATACAAGAGAGATGCTTAATTTACATAACAGACATCATGACAAACTATTAACTAATTAACTTAATAACAAAAGTGTTATTTAATCCTTGACATGCCCTTTCTGTGAATCGTGCTGCAAATTCATTCGCGTTGTACATCCGGTTGCCCAAAAAAATCTCATGTTCATGTGCTACAATGTTAAAGTTTGGTTCCTTGGTTTTTGCATGAAATTTTATATTGAATATTTATATTTTTTATTTATAAATTATTGAAATTTTAAATATTTTTATCTTTTAATAATTATAATTTTTTATCATAATTACAAAGGGTATAGTTTTTATAAATTGATTTTTTATCGGAAAAATTCTTACATTTAAAGAAAATCTAATTCTAAAAGAGGGAGAATTAGAGAGAGGGACCTGATATGGATGATATTTATTAGCAAGGATTATAAAAATTATAATTGTTTAGAAAGACCAAATACTAAAATATAAATTTAAAAATACTGTTTTGCCCCAAACTAAATTCCCTATATTTTCTCTCACCATAGCCTATAATTATCCTTTTTTAAATGAAATAATATATAATTACTTATTCATATTAATTCAAGGGAGAATCTTAATTAAATCCGATTGAAATATCCAAATCCAAATTAAGGCTTATACTTTGAACAAATTCCTAATTAGGCCAAGAGGCCTTATTAGGAATTTTTGAATGTTATTAAAAGACTAAAATACTCTTTTTATAATTTAAAATAATATTATTTTTTAAAAAATTAAACCATCAAAACTTGACATTATATAATATTTATTTATAAAAATTGTTTTGCATAAGAAAATTTGAAAAAGCTGAGAGCAAAAAATTGACAATGCATAATACAATATTCTTTACTAATTCTAATATTGACAAGAAATTTATGAAAACAGGGACCTTTTAATTACTTGATTACAACACCATTAAATTAATAATTTTTTGAAGGAGAATTTTTTTCTTATAATTAAAAAATCAGAATCTTAATGTGTTGGTAGATTTTGGCATCAAATCTATCATTTCTTTCTAAATACTTTGCTATATCTGATATATAGACATTCTCATTACCTTATATCTTATAATCTTGTTACTAAAATTATACTAATAATTAATATGAACTCGTATTAGTATTTTAAATAAATTTTTCAACATATGATGGGATCGATGGAATAATATAAACTACTCAATATAAATTTATATGAAGAAATTCATACTAGCTGGTAATCAATAGAACTTGTATTATGTAAACAAAAATGTTCAGTCATTTGTCAAACTGATCTCAACAAGGATTTGGATTTTTACAAGTCTTTATTGTGTGACCTGCTTGATAACATTTGAACAATGGTATGTTTTTGTATTTTGAAATTGTGATTCATGTCTTTTAGTTCTTGGCCTTCCAGGAGATCGGCTGGTTTGAGGTGGTTGGAGGAAGACTTGTCCCAATATGTTTCCCATCCTCAAGTTATTTGGTTTGGTATGTCAATTGTTACAACAGGTATCATGCTTATGCTATAAATCTTCTCTTGCGATGTAATCTTATAGTAGTCTTCAACGTAATCATACACATTACCATGTGCGAGTTTAATTGCTGCACAAACATGTGGACATGGAATTCCAGACATCTGCCATGCTGCAAAACTACACTGATGTATGTGAAGATCAACTCACAAGTCTCCATAAGCTATACGAACACAAATCATATCTTGATAATGTTTAGCTAACATTTGTTAAGCTTTGGCCACACTTTCTCTCCCTTTCAACTCTATATTTGCACCAACAACATTTTCCCACTTTCTCATTGCCATACTTGATGCAAACATTTTTTTTTGGCAACCTTCTCTCAATGCTCATGGATCAATTGGGCAACATTATGCCTCCTTTCTTTTACCATCCATGCATTAAATGACTTAGCAAGATTTGTTGTTACATTATCTCATCGTTTAAATGAAAACTTGCTTAAAGCTCACCTATCAACATCCCCATGATTCTCAAGCCATTGAAATAACTCTGAAGAGAAATTTCTCATATTTTCCATAGCATCATTGAACTCATTCTCAAGCCTTGTATATGCAATGTCATCAAGCAATTTTAGTGCATCATCCTTGCTCTGGGCACTTGTCATTTTCTTACCTCTATTTAATTTCATCGGTTTTGCACTAAAGTTTTCCTTTACATGTCGATAGCAAAATGCATGACGCTTACCAATGAATATCTTGGGGGAGGTGCTGCATGAAATTGTTAAGCGTGAGTGGAGATGAAATTGATGTTAGATTAATGTTCAACGGCTTGAAAGGAACACAAATCAAGTGGTTTTATGCTAAAATTGGTTAAATTTCATGATTGTGTAACTTAAGAAAATATTTTGGTCAGACCTGGTTCTTGTGCCTAGAATGTGATTTTGATGATTTTGATGCATTCA